CCTGTGTGGGGTTTCTGAGGTTGCGTCACGTGGCCACGTGTGGTAAGAGCCAACTCTCATTGCTGAGTGGTGCTCTTGTGTGGCTGACTCATACTCTGCTTGTCTCGCCCGCAGGGCCCGCGGGGCCTCTCCAGCCAGCGCGTGTCTCCAGGTCTGTGTGCCTGGTCCTCCCGGGCGAGATGCTGGGAGTGGAGCATGCCCAAGCTGGAGAGGCGCCAAGGAGCTCCCCAAGGCCCTGCCACCTTCCCTCCTGCCCAGCAGACCAGTGCAGCCGGGGCGTCTGCCCTTCACAGCCTTGGCCTTTCTGCCTGGAGCCTAGGCCGTGGGGCTGTAAGTGCCACTTGACTGTGGCCTCAGTGTACATCTCTTTGGAGGAGGGCTGTGGGGCGTCTTCCCCGCACAGTCCCTTCTCTGTCTTCCCTCGGGGCGTCTCTTCACATGGTGCCTCTGATTCCCGGGGCTGTTTGTCCTGAGCATTGGACCCGAGCGTCCGTGCCGCCCTCTGCGCAGCCCGGGTCGGTGCCAGTGTGCAGAGTCTTTTCCTTGCATCGTGGCGGCCTCTTCATTTTAAGAGTCTCTTAAGAAGAGCAGGAACTTTCAGCGTTAGGCAGATCAGGAATGCTTCACCATAGCTATGTCCTGAATGTGGTGTGTCCCCTGAGGTGGCAGTTGGACCCAGGGTCTTGTTCACGGCCCTCAAAGGTGGGCACTCTGCTGACTGTGTGTCAGAGATGGGCTCTTGAGAGGCGATGGGGCCAGGTCCCTGGGGTGGAGCTGCGACTGGATCCTAGCAGCTTTGTGAGCAGAGATCGCGCACTGAGGGGCACCTGCCACCCCAACATGGTGCGACTTGGGGCCCAGCCGTGGCCCCATGAGAGCCTGTGCTGCACGGCCTGGGACTGCAGAGCTGCCAGTCAAGCACAGCGCCCACCGTGGGGAGCCATGCAGAGCCTGCGGACACCTGCAGGGTGTCCACGGTGCTCATGGCTCCCGCCCATAGCTAGGCTTGTGGTGCATTTGGAGTTCACTCCTGCATGTGCCCTCAGGAAGGGTTGAGGGTCACTTTTTAAAAATACTTTTAGCACCATTTGTCGAGACAGCCATCTTTGCCCATTGGCTGCGTGGGTGCCTTTCTGAACACCGTGTGCCCACGTTCCTGGATTTCTCTGTACTGCTGTGCTGCTGTGCTGGGTCCCCAGGCTGCAATCCTGCTCAGGCCAGGCAGGCTGGTGCCCTCCAGCTTGCTCCTCTGTGCAGTGCTGTGGACCCTCAGGTCCTTGGTGTGTCAGTGAACATCTCAGAATCACCTTGTCGATTTTTGTTTTAAAATCCTGCTGTAGTTTCAACTCAGTTGCGTGGCGTCTGCAGACCTCTGTAAGAATGGCCCTCTTAAGGGCGCCCTGTGTGCCCGGAGTGCGCCTTTCTGTTGACTTGTCTCGGCAGTGCCTCGGGGCTTTCCAGGGGTGGGTCTTGTGTTTATCATTGTTCTGTTGGAAGTGGCTCAGGGACCTTGAGGCTGAACACTGCTTTTGGTGGCTTTGTCCACATTCCACTGTCCACTCTTGGCCACGGCTGTTTTTTGTGCACTGCTGGTGTCCTGTGGGGCCTCAGGTTCATTATTGGTTCCAGGAGCTTTTCCCTAGACCCCTCGGGATTTCCTGTGTGCAGGGACATGGATGTCCTGGCCTCCCAAGAGAGCAATGTGGGGTCTCTTGCTCTAGTTTCCTTAGACTCTCAGTCGTGAGTGACGGATTGCATCAAGGCTGGCTCCTCCTAACTTAGTGAGCCGTCTCCTTTCTAACCGGTTGGTCCAAGTCACAGTTACGGGCCTGACCTTTCCTTTTGTACTGAGGATTGACCCCCAGGGCAGTTCACCACTGAGCTACATCCCCAGTCCTTTTTGTTTTGAGACAGGTCTCACTAAGTAGCTGAGGCTGGCCTCCAACCTGTGTGCCACCTGTGTCAGCCTCCTGAGCTGCTGGAATCACTTGTGTGGCCTTGTGCCCGGCTCATACCCTGACTTTGAAGTGTCAGGCCACCTCTGAACCCTCGGTCAGCGCCCCCTCGGCAGGGCCCCGTCTCCTTTCTGTGCTGTCTGTCCGAGGTCTGTCCTGGGCTCTGCGGTGGCGCCTGCTGTCTCTCTTCTCAGGGTCTGTGCTCGGCTTTGGCGTGGTGGGGGCTGCTCCTGCAGTCTGCCCCCGGGTCGCTTGTTCCCTGGTGGTAGAGCCGTCTCACCTGGGTCTGGTGGTGTTTCAGTTGCAGTTTCAGTCTCGCCACCGCCGGTGTCCTCAGGCCTGTCTGTTGAGTGGTGTTGGTCCTTCTTGTCTCCACGGCGTGTCCCTTCATGTTGGGTCTGCGGTCACGTCCCTTTTCATTCTCCATGTGGCTCGTTTGTGACTGTTCCTGACGTTTCCAGCTACAGTTGTGCAACCTTGACCTTCAGAGAGAGCTCTTTGGCCCCATTGGCCGTGTCCACCTGGGTCTGCCCGTGACCGTGTGGTCACACCCTCCTCTCTGTGTGTAGGTAGGTGGCGGGCTCCCCAGGGCTCCGGGGCTACAGCTTCTCCTCTCGCTCCTGACGCCGACTCTGAGCGCCTGGGAGGAGCCTGCTCTGCTGCAGCCATAGCTCTGCGCCTCCTCTGACTGCTCTCTGCGTCGCTGGGGGCAGGGTGGCCGGCGCTGTAACTGCAGTCGGTCTCTGACTCCAGAAGCTGGTCTCGGGGGCCTGCAGCTGGCGCCTTTCCTCTGCGGGGCGCCCCCTCTGGCCCCTTCACTGCTGCTGCGTAGGTTTGCTGGCTGAGCACCTGCTGTGCCTGCGGCCTTGGGTGGCCGGGTTGGGTAAGGGAGACTGGTGAGGGGACAGAGAGGAGATGCCCGTGGAGGAGGACCTACAGGACCCGGCCCAGAACCAGCTGCCCTTGCTCTAGTGCTGATGACTCCATGAAGATGTGGCGGCCACCATTTTTGGGATGGAGTCTGAGGAGAGGAGCGTCAGTGCCGGGCAGAGGCAGGTGTGGGTAGTCACAGCCTGGCCTCCCGGGGAGCCAGCCCTGGGCTGTGCCGAGTGTCTTGCCCACTGCCCTGCAGCCACAGTGCCAGTTCACAGCCCGGGTCGTTGCCTCAGCTGTCCAGGGGCTGCAGGGTCACGGCGAGCAAAGCACCAATGTGGGGATTGTCCGGATGGGCATCAGCAGCGGTGGGGCGGGAGGGCCCGTGAAGGGCGGGATAGGAGGGCCAGGGGAGGCTGGAGCACTGTGCAGGGACTTGGGCTTTGTGAGAGTGACACGTGGAATGGCTGGCCAGTGTGAGGGCTGGGACATGACCTGCTTTTAGCACCTCTGCTTCAGGGACTGTGCCACGGTGGAGTAGGACGCTGTGGCCGTGAGGGGCAAGAGACCTTCAGGAGCCCAGGGGCGCAGAGTGTCTGACCCTGCGCAGAGCAGCCCAAGGCGAGGCAGCGCTGCACTCCCAGGACCCGCAGTGGTCAGGGCAGTGCAGGTCTCAGGCTCTCAAAGGCCACCCACTGGTGCTGGCACCTGACCAGGTGACACCCAGCAGGCAGTGCACCGTCCGCACCACAGGTCACGGCCACCTGTTGAGGGGTTCACTGCCCCAGCTGTCTCTGACTGCCGAGCGGGTCTTGGCTGTGCAGTTGCCCCCGCATGCCAGACTGGGAAATGGAGGATGGGGACAGGGGAGCCGAGAGTTTTGCTGAAGAGACAGGAAGGCTGGGGGTACAGGGGTGGAGATGGGGAAGTCAGGAGATCCTGGGCAGGCCGAATGTGAGAGCAGTGGGATGCCCAGGCAGATGGACCGAGGGTCATTAGGGAGGACAGTCTGGAGATCAGGTCCAGGTGGGGGCAGGACCATGGGACGAGGACGCTCAGGTGGGTCTCAGGCTGTGGGACTGGCAAGCTCGCTGAAGAGGTCCTTGTGGGGAGTGGCAGTGAGGTGGTGGTCCAGGGTGGAGTGTCAGGCTCTGTCACGTGGCCGTCGGCACAGTGAGTGGGCAGCCTCTAGAAGGAGGTGGACCAGGAGGCAAGACCTAGCTGGGTAGCAGCCATGCCAGAGTCATTGGGGCCGGAAGGCCCCCGTCCCTGCTGCTGTCACCAGCCTTTCCCGGCTCCTCCTCAGCCCGCCCTAGCTCTCTCCTGCACAGACTGCCACGCCCTGCCACTGAAGGGCTGCGGAGGGGAGGCACAGCTGGGGCAGTGAACCCCTCAACAGGTGGCCGTGACCTGTGGTGCGGACAGTGCACTGCCTGCTGGGTGTCACCTGGTCAGGTGCCAGCACCAGTGGGTGGCCTTTGAGAGCCTGAGACCTGCACTGCCCTGACCACTGCGGGTCCTGGGAGTGCAGCGCTGCCTCGCCTTGGGCTGCTCTGCGCAGGGTCAGGAGGGCTCTCTGGGTTCTGCCAGGCCAGGGTCCCGCCTCTCTTGGGTGTGACTTGGATGTGTATACTCAGGTGTCACTCCACTGGGGAGGGTCAGCGCCTGCAAAGAGCACTGGTCTCATTTGCTGCTGGGGCCACATTCAAAGCTGCAGCTGGACTGTGGCCAGGGTTGCCTAGGCCCTCTCATGCCACTGCTCTGGGGGTGGCAACAGGCTCACCCTGGGACCCAGAGCCACGCTCTGCTCAGCATCGAGGGCCCGTTGCCGGGAGCTTGGCCGGGCCTCCTCACTGGTGCCCAGCTGCCCGTGGCGGGCTGGACGGCTCTGAGCCGCGAGTCTATGTTTGGGGTGGTCCTGGAGGTGGCCTCTGCCTCCCACGCAGCTCACCTTGCTGTTTCTCCCCTGTCTGCCTGTCTGCCTGCTGTCCCTGCCCCTCCCGCCCTCTGCCTGCCTCTGCCTGTCCTGCCCCCTCCGGCCCTGCCTGCTGCTTCTCTCCCTTCTCTCTGCTCCTCTCCATTTGCTCGCTGGGCTCTGCCTGTCCCTCTGCCATGCCTTGCTCTCCCTTCTGCCTGCTGTGTCCCCTTCTCCCCGCCCCTTCCCTGCCCCAGGCACGCGATGCAGCAGGAGACCAACAGAGCCGTGGCGGCCAGTGCTGGTGCCTTGAAGCAGACGTCAGAGCTCCTGCGGGGCTCCTGTCTGGTATGTTTCCCTGAGGGCTGGGCCAGACCAGGGAGGCCCTGAGGGAGGGGATGTGGCCCTGGAGGGGTTCGGGGATCCGTGTGCACAGATGGATACTCAGGCTGCCCTGGGTTCGGCCACATGTGGCTCAGGGGCCAGAACTGGGTGTGTGGGCCCTTTGAGCAGCAGGGGCCAGGGGTGGCTGCTGCGACTGCTCTCCTGGCACCTGCCTTGTGGTTGTGGTGAGGGTGTCCGAGTCTTGGCTGGGCCTTCCTGAATGGAGACTGACGACCCCATGGTCAGTGTCACTGTCTTTGTCCCCTCCACTGCCCCTGCCTTCCTGTCCCCGTCTCTGCCTCCCGGCTCCCTGGGAGCTCCCTGCCCCTTGCCAGTGTTCATCATTGGGTTTCTGTGTGCGCCTGTCCTGTCAGTCATTACCCTGCCCCTCACCAGCCACATGAGGTTTGTCACCACACCTATTGCCACACCAGGGTCCCAGGAATGTCTGCCACCACATAGCTCCACCCCCACCCTCCTCTCACCTGTGCCAGGAAGCACACTGTGTTACCCACACCCCACCCAAGTGTCCATAGATCAGAGGATGCTGCTCTCAGAGGGTCAGAGGCCATTGGGCCTCGGCGACTGCCGCCTGCCCGGCCTGTGCAGGGCGTCCTCATACCCAGCCTCTGAGGTGTGCCCATCTCAGTGCTTCCCGCTGCCAGGACACTGCCTAGGTGCGAGGGCTGCGTGGCCTGCAAAGCCTGGTCCTGAGGACAGCAGAACCCTGCTGAGCTCTGCGTGGACACATATGGCGTGGCACCTGCCTGCAGGAGGTGCTGCTCAACAGGGGGGTGGGACTTGGAGGCCCCCGCCCCCCGCCTGGGCATACCTCGAGGGAGCCCGAGGGCAGCAGGCCTGAGGTTGGCAACCATAAGGTGGATCAGTGGCTTCCAGGACTGGGGGTGCAGCGGAACCTACTGCATTCGGGCACCAGGGAACTTTGGGTGATAGAGTATTCTAAAAGCTGGGTGGTGATAGCTGTGCCACTGCAGAGTGCGGCTCTGCATGCTAGGGTGGGGCCATGGGATCAATCAAGCTTCCTAAAACTTAAGATGTGGCCAGCTTTCCAGTGACTGGGCACACAGACTCTCCCAGAGGTGCTCTGGTGGCCGGTAGCTGATCTCACAGGACTTGCTAATCAGTGCAGTTCTTCAGGGGAGACGCGACTCTCTTTGGTTCTGAATCTTGGGCAGGAGTCATAGCTGCTCACAGAGTCATAGCAGCCTGACCACTAGTGTATCCCAGGCCTTCTGCTCAGCCGCCTGGGCTGGGCCTGGCACCTGCAGCAGCACCCTTGGTTCTGCAACCTGTGTCCTCCTGTCCATGCATGCCTTCCTTCTTCAGACATGCTGGCCTCTCACATGGCACCTGTTCTCCAGGTCATAGGCACGCCGTGCAGCAGGAGCACCACAGTCCCCGCCCATCTTCTGGTGCGGCCAGCTGACCTGCTTGCTAGAGCCGACACTTGCCCAGTGCCTGCTTTGTCTCCGCCTGGTGGGGTGGGCACACTTAGGGAAGAGGTATCTCCTACATTGTGGGACATGATTGAGGTGGCGACCCCCCCATGCCCTGGTCCTTGGAGGTTTTCCACAAGCCAGGACTTGTAAGTCTGTCGCTCTTCCCGGGGCCCTGGCAGCACTGGCCAGTATCTTGCTCTCTTTCTACAGGAGGAGCGACCTGCCCAAGATGCCTTGGCTAGGGAGGAGCCCAGTAGATGTGAACTCTGGCCCAGGTGGGCCCAGCCGGCCCCTGTCCTCTACCAGGGCGACACAGAGCCTGAGCCCCGCGTGTCTGGCATAGTTAGCCAACACGGTCATCCAGCAGGGTCCTTGGGCATGGGTGTAGGACACCCCCTGGTTACCAAAGTCCGTGTTCAGCCAAGTCCCTTGCATAGAGTGGTGTATCATGTGTAGGTGACTTGTGCACGCCCTCCCGTGTACTTCAGGTCACCTGAGCTCCTGGGGTGCCAGCATGGTGCAGAGACTGTGGCCAGTGGTAGGCGCACTGATGGGGGTGATGGCGAGAGCAGGGGTGATCTGAGCCAGGCACGGTAGTCTGAGTCCTCTGTGCTGTTGGTGGACCCCGGTGTGGCAGTGTTCTAAATGACAGCCTACTGGGTGTCCGTCTGCCCTACTCCACCTGAAACCCCACAGACTTGCTTGTGAAATTGGGGCGAGGAGGCACAAATGGGCTGGGAGCCTTCCTTGGTGGCTCCCATAGTGCCGTGGGAGGACTCTGGACCACGCAGTGTCCACTGGCCCTGGGCAAGTGCAGGACGCGACAGGGCCTCACAGGAGGAGGTCTCACCACATGCCGTGGCCTGAAGGAGGGGGCACTGCTGTGGGCCCGTGGTGTTGGCAGGCATGGGGAGCAGCTGCCCAATGTGCTGGGGATGCTGGGTGGAGGGAGGTCTCGGTTACAGCAGATGGGCCTGAGGGTTCAGTTGCCCATGTGGGCAGGGGTTGAGGACTGGGCTTCTCCTTGCTCTAACAAGAGTCTGTGGGGAAGCACCCGCCGTGTGGCTCTCGGTGCCTCCCTCACCCGGCCCGAGCTTTAGGGAATGAGATGGTTTGGGTCACCGTAGCCACCTCCACTGCCGAGGGAGGGACCCTGGCAACCTGGCTGCCTTCTGTGTGGTGCTCACTGCTCCCTCGCAAGGTGGGTGTGGAGCCCCTTGTTTTGGGGGCTCCATGGCCTGGTAGCTCTAGGAAGCATGCCAGGTCCCCTTTCTCCTTCCTGAGCTGGTCTGGTGAGTAGGGCACAGGGGAACATCAGTGCAGCCTCCCAGAGGTGCATGCTGCGGTGGGTGCCAGGCGGGCTCTCTGGAGGAAGGCTCGCGCAGCAAACAGACACCATGGGCAGCAGCAGGGCCAGTGCTGTGCTCTCCCAGGCTACTTGCTCTGTCCTGGGGTTCAAGTGTGGTATCCATGACCTGAGGCCACCCACCCAGGACATCGAAACAGGCTCCACCAACTGCTGAGTGGGGCGTGTGGGCCCAGAGTTGGAAAGCCTGTCCCTCAAGCCTGGGCCACAGCTCATCTGCCCACACTAGCACCTCTCGCCATGGGTGTTAGTGGCAGTGGGTGGCGGTGTGTGGTGGCTGTGGACAGCCAGGTCTGCTGGGACCACACTGAAGTACCCAGGCTGGGCAGGGCACTAGAGCTGCTGTGGTTTCCTTGGTGCCAGTTCCACAGGGCTGGAGGCGGGAGGGGAGGCCCTATCAGGCAGTGGGGTCCGTGGCCAACCTGAGCAGGGACACTTGACTCCAGGCCTGGCCTGTCCAGCCCCTCACCTGATGAACGCTTCTGGAGCACGAGCTCAGTGGCGGTTCATGTCTTGGTGGCGGGGTGTGGTGCTGAACAGCAGGGGAGCAGGCTGAGGGGCGGTGTGGCGGGGGAGGGGGACAGCAGTAGGACAAGGCATGGGTCCCTGGGACCCGGCTCCAGTACCTGACGCCTGGACTGGGCCAGTCAGGACTCGGGTCCTGGTCTCCTGGGCTGTGGGGCGACCACAGTGCTTGGGTTATGAGGGGCCAAGCCACACACTGGGCCACCGTAGCTCCGGGCTGCTGACTGTGCTGGTCGCGCTCCGTGGGTCCTATGGTGCTGGTGTCACTGGGACTCTGGCTGATGACGACAGTGGCCATGAGCCACTTCCTCAGGGTGGGGATGTGACGATGCATGGAGAAGCTGGGCTGTGGCCCTGCTGGGCAGAGAGGGGCACAGAGAGCACCATGACAGTAAGCCTGCCCTCTGTCTGCAGCAGGAGCGCCTTCAGCTGGACCGGCTGAAGATCCAGCTAGCAGATGCCATTCAGCGGTACGGAGTGGTCCAAAAGGTGAGGTGCCGCGGGCGGGGTGCAGGCCAGTGGGGGCTGTGGGCCCTGGAGCATACCTCAGGTGGCTGTCTCTGGGTGGCGTGGGGTGGCCTTCCTCCTCCAGAAGTGCTGCCCCGAGGGGAACTTACAACAGCCTCCTGGGGACAGGCAGGGCAGGCCTCACCCCATTTTGACAGACAAGGAAACGAGGCCCTCTGAGGCTGTCCAGCCAGTCCTGCGAGCCTGCCCAGGGCCTGGCTCCCCCCGGTGTGCTTGGCTCTCAGGGCCTGTGGTTTATCTGACCCTTCTCTTTCCACCTTTAACATTCTTCGTTTCTTTCTCCTCTTGTACTTTTTCCAACAGAAAATTGCAGAAAAGTCCAGAGCACTGCTTCCCACAGCTCAGAGGGGCATCAAACAGGTGGGTGCCACGTGGGTACTGTGGTCAGGCAGTGGCTGTGGGGTCAGTACCGACTCCGTTGCCGTCTGTGCTCCAGGAGAGGGTGGGAAGCTGGGGACAGGCCCATTCAAGGGTCTGCCTCAGTGTCCAGCTTGTAGAGCTCCGGCATTCTGACCTTTGGGCTCTGGCATGGTGCCGACCCTAGGAAGCTCCCAAGTGACTGCTGATGGTTGCGTGTGGCATCACACTTTCTTATTTTCTATAACAAAATACTTGAGACCGAGTGCTTTATAAAGAAAAGGTTTATTGAGCTCCCAGTTTGGAGGCTGCAAGTGCAAGTGGCCCCATCAGCTTGGCCTCTACTGAGGGTCCCCTGGCAGTTGGCATCCCAGTGGCAGGAGTCTTGTGGTGCGCGGAAAGCCAGAGTGTGACGTGGTCAGGTGCACTTTCACAACCCTCACCCTGCAGGGCTAAGCGGGCTCCCCTGGCACCACTGCACCTGATCACCTCATAAGGTCCTTCCACCTTCCTGTCACCGCACAGGGGACCAGGATCTCACACCCTCCAACCTTAGCATAGGCACACTGCCTGTGAGAGCCATGTAAAGCCAGGATATACACACACCCCGACTCAGAGACGTGCCACACACAGACCAGCCGGGACATGAGAGACAGATTCCATTGACCATGCTGGGCAGGGTGGCCTGGAGCCTCAGCAGCCTCACTGGGCCAGGAGGACAGGTTCCAGAGCTCAGACTTCCTCAGCCAGGGCTTGAGGAGCGTCCTCCAGGAGAAAGACAGCCCCACCCCACCCCGCCTGTGCAGCCCCCTCAGGGCTCTGCTGATCTGCATGCTGTGTGGGCCTGCTGTGCCAGGCCAGGGAGCAGGACAGAGGCCGTCAGCAGAAGAGCCAGCGGGACCTCGGCACTCAGAGTACTGAGGCAGATGTGGTATAAGGCCCATGGAGGAAGGGCTATTGTGGGCACCACCGGCCAGTTGAGAGCCCTGAGCATCAGAGGCACCAGGAGGAGGCCAATCCCAGTAAGCCCTGAAACCGTGCCCGCTGGCTGCCCAAGGATGGTCGTGTTCCTTCTGGAAGACAAGTCCATGGTCTGATGTCTCTGGTTGCTCATTTATGGCATCTAGGATTTTAACCAAAATTGCTGGCATGCCCGGTACTGGGAAGAATAAATAGTGACCAGTCTTCAGGGAATGTGGATTGAAATGATTGGATGTGAACTTAATGAAGCTGTGCAAATGTGGAAGGAGTTAGATGAGGTGGTGGGACTTTCCTAGAGAACTTGAATCTGCACATGGAGAAGTCCAGCGTTGAATACACCAAGACTAAAATGAAGACCTCAGGAGATTGGCCAGCTCTCAGGTTAGAAGAAGGCAGGATTGATGAACTGGAAGGCGGTGACACAGGTAAGGGGTGAGAAGGTGTCCAGTGCCACCGCCATGCCCAGCAACTTGGGAGGCTGAGGAGGAGAATGCCAAGTTCAAGCCCAGTCTAAGCGACTTGGTGAGGCCCTGTCTCAAAATGAAAAATAAAGAACAAGGGCTGGGGTGTAGCTTGGTGGCACAACGTCCCCAAAAAGATCCACAGAAGAATATAGTAGTTGGAGGCCTAGATGAACAGAGGGAAAGAATGGATAGAACTAATGTTTGAAGAGTAATGGCTAAAAATTTCCCCAGACTGTCCAAATACTGCAGGCGCAGATCCAAGAAACTTTATGGTAAGTAGAGTAAGTTTGTCCCTGATTTAAATAAAATCCTTGGTTATATAGTAATAAAAATTTGAAAACCAAAGGCAGAAATCAATCTTAAAAGATTTTGAAACCACAGAAAATCTTAAAAGCACGTTACGCCAGAGGAGAAGGGCACGCTGTGTTTGAAGACACAGGAACCACAGCTCACAGAAGCGGTGAGGGCCAGGAGACGGCAGAAGCGCCCCTGTGCTGGGTCGTGCTGGGTTGCACTGGGCCGCACTGGGTTGTGACTCGTGACTGACCCAGTCAGGGTCACCCCAGGTGAACTGGGCTGCACCAAGTAAACACACAGAGGCAGAGAAATACCTTTTTCTCTGGTTCTGTGACGGCTCCTCCAACCCAGCTCCCACAGGAGACAAGGCAGGCAAGAGAGAGCGTGCTCCTTGAACCCGGGTGTTGTTGGGGGAGGCTGTTCCATGGACTGTTCTATCCCCCAAAGGGCAAAGGGGTAGGACTACAAAGGAACAGGTGAGTGGACTCAACCCAGCAGGTGACATCTACTCCTGGAGCCACACTGTGTTATCCGAGCTGGGGTAACGCCCAAGTTACTGTGACCTGGCTCTGCCGTGCCAGAGGAAGACAGTGACTGTTCAGAACCCCGAGCGTCAGGACTTACAGGCGTCTGCTTCCAGGGCAGCTCCGACAGTCCTGGCCTTTACCCTGCAGCTGCCGGGAGTCTTCAGATGGGGTCTTTAGGCAAAGTGGAAGCATTTTCAGAGAAGCAGAGCTGAGCGCTCCTGAGTGGCAGCTCCATTTCTAAGCGGAGACAGGAGTGTGGCCTCAGCTGGAAGCACAGTTGCAGAGGAAGGCAGGGCACATGGGTCGGGGACATGTCCTCATAGAGCAGGGTCGGCTCTGGGAGTGCAAGGCTGGTCAATTCAGAAACAGTTGGTGTGATTCACCTGCTAGAACACATGGGCTGACGCCAGGGCTGTCCCAGCACACCCAGAAAAGCCCCACTCAGGGATGCTGGGAAACGGGCAGAGTAGGAACTGGCAGGGTGACTTGGATCTGTAAGAGGTGCCTGCAGAACCCGAAGCTCGTTGCACTCTGCTGGGCAAACGTCGTCTCCTGAGCTCGAGGATAGGGCACCTACTTCTGTCCCCTCCATTGGCATTGTGTGGACCTGTGCAGTGTGGTGGGCATGAAGAGACAGGTGGGAGACCCAGGCAGAGCGGGGCAGGCTGCTTCTAAGGACCCGGCGGGACTTGGAACTGGTGAGAGTTGAGATGCTAGCTCGGCATCTGGGAAGACAGAAATTACATTGAAGACGTGATGTGACTCCAGTCATTCTTCACAGTTAGTGCCCATAGCCCCAGCTCGTGGAGGGGCTGAGGTGGGAAGGACCACTGAGCCCAGGAGCTCAGGATGAGCCGGGCACATGGCAGACACCATCTCGAAGGAGAAGAGAAAGCAGCACCAACTCATTAGCATCGAGAGTGGGGAGAAGCCTGTGAAGAGCTGCCTGAGGCCGCTGTGGAAACTGCGTCGTTGCTGAGAGAGATGGTGGAAGGGCCGAGACGGGACGGCAACACCAGGCGGACAGAGGTGCTGCTTTCAGTAGACGGTCTGCAGCTCCCCGTCCAGAGGGAGACTCCATGGGCTTGAGAGCACATGCTGTGTATGTGGTCTTACAGACCCTGACGTGCACCTGGGAGCCAGTCCTGCCTAAGAACACAGCGCAGGAGCCCATCAGCAGACATGAGGACCTGGTGTGAAGCCCCTGCGGCATGCGCAGGTGGACACAGACCCTCACACACATGCTGGTCAGAGTTCGTGGCCTGCCTAGGTGGACTGCCTATGGACACATGGGTGTTTGATCTAGAGAAAAGGACCCTTTGCAGACTTGAGCTCACCTGTGCACAGAGATGTTTCTGGCAGGGCACAGCCTCATGGAAGAGCCAAGGCAGGAGCATTCCTCCGACACCCGGAGCAGGCCCTTCACCCCACTTTGAGGGCAGGATGTTCTTCCACAACTATCTGAAGCACTATCTGAAGAATGAGAGTGGCAGACTTGACTTGGTTAAGATGAATATGACATTGAGAGAGAGGGTATTTGCACAATACATCTGAGAGGACTTATGTCCACGCTATGTAAAGACCTCTTCCAAATCAAGAAAAAGGCAGCCTTAGGTACATCCCTAAAGAGGATTTCCAAATGACAGATAAGCATGTGAATGTACACTCAACACACTACTCAGCAGAAAAATGGAAAGCAAACCATAACAGAGTATTGTTACACACAAACTCTCATCCACCAAAACAAGAGTGTAGTAAGCATACCTGAGAGGGCCTGCTGTTGGCAGGCCCGTGGGGCAGCTGGAGGTCTGTGCTCTGCTGGTGACTGTGGATTGTTTGTTCCTGCTCAGGAACATAGAATGTCTGTGAAGTCCAGCATTTTCCTACCTGTGATCTTGTAGTTCTACCCAAAGGAGGTGCATATATGTGTTCCCTGAAAGGCACATGTAAGAACACTCATAGCAACACCCCTGCAGGACCCCGAACCTGGTGCCCAGAGGATACAAGTGATCTGTGCTGGGCTCACACAGGAGGAGACTCACGTGCTGTGGAGTTAAGGTCTGGCCAGAGGAATGCCTGGCACCAAGCACCAGGGGCCTGGGTAGCCGTCACGAGGAGGATGCCTTGGTGCCGGCTGAGCCCTGGCTGGGCAGTGTCTCCCTCATGTGTTTCTGGACTGGACACTTGGCACGTGTGCCCTGGACTGCAGATTCACTGCTTGATGGCAATTTCTGTTAATGAGGAAGGAATGGGCAGCAGCATTTCTGAGAAATTGTGGAGGCTTAGATTATTTCCAGGAATTGTGCAAACCATAAATAGTGAGATGACATGTGACCCTGTTCAACCAGGGGCTTGTTGCCAGGTTGGTGCTGTAGACTCGGGGCACCTGAGCAGCGAGCTTCCTGTGAGGAGCCACTCAGCCTGACTGGAGTTGGCCACCTCAGCGTGGTCGGATGTGGGCTCTAACTGGTCAGTTTCAGTGAGCAGAGCTGAGACTGTTGAGGGTGGGGGCAAGCCACAATGGTGGGTCATCTTTCTTGAGACCCTGGGCCTGCTCGGCCTTGCTGTCTGCCAGAACATGGTCCCCAGGCCAGACGGTCAAAACGCTCCGTTTCCATGCTTGCGGGAGTCCCTTGGCTTCCGTCTGAGGTCTGGGGCACCAGGCAGAGTTGCTGTGTCTTGCTGCCCTGGCCCCCCTTTTGTTTAATATGGGTTTGGGGGCAGGATTGCTACAGTTTTGATAGCCTCCAGAGACTTCCATTTGGAGGAATTGCTGACCAGTTGTGGGGGCCCTTCCCACAGGAGTGGACCTGGTGTGAAGGCCCTGCCGCGTGTGCAGGGTCTCCTGCCCTCCATGACTGGAGGATTGGAGGATTGAGAAAGAGCCTCATTTCCCAGAAACTAAGCCCTGGGTGCTGCCCTGGGTCTGCACCATCATGCTCCTTTTTCCCCAGGGGAGGGTGGGCAGGGCCCCTACAAGCATCATCGTCCCCAAACAAATACCCCTTGAGCTTGGTCTCCTTCGTGAGAAAATGTGCAGTCCCTTTTCCAGTGGCACTTTGTAGCACCTCCTTCTGCCCAGTATGGGCTGGCCCTGGGCCTGAAGGCGAGTGGGGCCACCATTGTTGGTCTCTGAGCTGGAGTCACCGCAGTAGCCTGTGTGCTCTATACCCCCAGCACCTGCCCCCAAATCCCTAATCCATTTTCAGCTGGCTTTGAGCTACAGACCCAAATTGGGCCTCTGTGGGCAGCACAGAGGAGCTTTGCCAGACTTGCAGGGTGTGCTGAGGGGTCCAGCCAGCCCCCTCCCTGTCCTGTGTCGGGTCTTGCTGGGAGGCTTGGCGGCCTGTAGGGTCTGCTCTGCCCCACCACAGCCCTCCGCATCTCCTAGCGCCACCTCCTTCACGCAGTGGGGCAGCCAGCCAAGGCACCATTCCTGGTGGCCTGCAGGGGTGGCCCATACAGCCACTCTGCTCTCAGCTTGTGGGGGCTTCCCCTGAAACCCAGACTTGGAAAACCAAACATCCCGAGAGGCCCTGGGCACCCAGTGTGTCTGAGGCGGTCGTGTGGCCTGCTTCCTAGAGCTTTGCCAAGGAAGTGGGCGTTCTCCCTTCCAGCTCTTCCGGGCCAGGTCGCCGTGGAGTGCCGGAGGTGTGCTAGGTGCACCTCTGGAGTCCTCTGTGTGCTGGGAGCTTTTGGAAGTGTTGAGTGGGCCAGGCCTCCCTCAGCTGGGCTCTGCTTTAGGGCCTGTTGCTCCAGGGGTCTGAGTGGCTAACGTCCCTGACTCGGCACCAGGAATGGCACGGGTCTTCCTTGTCTCCCATGGAGAGTCAGAAGTGCCACCTCCTGGTCCTGGCCTTCCCCGTGCTCCGGCCCTTGCTCATGGGTCTTTCCTCTCAAGGTGCTTCTGGGTGCAGTGCTGTCAGCTTTGTGTCCTAGAAGTGGAGACCAGGGCTCAGAGAAGTGAGGCCCTTGCCCAGGCTGGCATAGCCAAGAGGCCTCCCGTGAGTCAGGAGACTCCGATGTCTGTGGGTCCCTATGGGCATAGTCTTGTGCTCAGCAGGCAGAATGGCCACGTGGCCAGTGCCTGGTGAGCGCAGATTGTGGGCTGGGGGTGCGGGAGCGTGGTTGTTCCCACTGGACAAATGGGAGCCCCAGGGCCCAGACAATGTCTGTGACTTGCTGGACCTCACAACAGGTGCCAGTGCCACACAGGACTTGGGCCAGGGTTTTCCGAGAGCACCCTGAAAGCTCTGGAGGGGGCTGTGGCCGCAGGAGGAGGCGCGGTGCAGGCTCTGGCGCAGGGCCAACACCCCTCCCGCACCCGCTGCCAGGCACTGCTCACTTCCTCCCACCCACACGGGAAGGGGAGGTGATAATTATTGCCCTGGACGAGTAGCGCTTGTCGACAGATTTTTTAGATCTTTTATTTTATATTCATCTATCTGCGTATTTATTTATTTAAAGGCCTCTGCTGACTCCCTCCTGTCGGTGTGGCGCATGGGAAGGAGGACCGGCCAGGTGCTCCACCCCGCCCCACTCTTCAGGAGAGTCACCACACTCAACCTGTGGGTTGTGAGGAGGTGGGAGAAAGAGTGCCTTGGCCTTCTGAAGGCCTGGGGTGGCCATTGTCCTTCCTGCAGCTCTGTCACTTCCAGAGGCCTTAGGCACTGGTGCAGGGGCCACCCTGATGCCCAGCCCTGGACCGGCTGCACGAGTGCACAGCGGTCAGAGACCTGCCAGGGGCTCCTCCCCAGGGCGCGCTGGACCCAGCATGGGCTACCCCGTCTCCCCAGAAGAGAGCCAGGAGAAGACACAAGGCAGGGTGGAACTCCCTTCACACTGGGTTCTGGGGCCTGTCTTCTAGCCCTGAGCCGTGGTCCTGTCCCCACCTGCTGACAGGGGCCCTCCTCCATGGCTCAGCACACTGGGCATCCCGCAGGTGGCCATAGCAGACTCTGGGTCCTTCCTACTGTGTCTTCTAGACCTCAGACTGGGCTGCCCTCAGAGAAGTGTTGCTGGGGAGGCCAGAGGGGTACAGTGACTGCCACACAGGAGGTGCAGGTCACGATGTAACTTCCATGGAGTCCAATAGCTACTCCCCCTGGCGTGAGTTGACCAGAACCTGCATGTGACCACCTTGACCTTCAGCATGGTGGTCTTTGTTTCAGACAGATATCAGAATCCTACAGGGTCATAGAACATGAGTGAGCGTGGCTTTGCAGGTGACAGAGGGGAGGGTACTAGAGCCTGTCGCAGTGGAAGTGGGGGGGGGGCAGGTTCCAGGCATGGATTCGCCAGCTGCCGACACTCCTGGAGAGCCCAGCAAGAGTTCTGGGCTGGGATTGCAGCCCTGCCCTATGTTGTCCCTGTGTCCTATGCTGATTGGTGTCTGAGGAGCTGCCTTGGCAGGACAGTGCGTGATCTGAGTGGGTCCATCCCAGGGGAAATGGGGAGGAGGCAGAGGCCCACCTGGGATGCCCACACCCAGTCATTTCCACACTGGCTACCCTATGTCCTGTCCCAGGACAACGGCCAGGGACAGGGACCAGCCATTGTTCAGGGCCAGGTCCCAGAGAAGCTGGCCACACTCTGCCCACACTGTTGCCCTTGGGCCCTGCAGCAAAGGCAGATGCACCAAGCTGGCTAGGCTTGTCAGAAGGGGTCCTTTCCCAGGGTGGGAGAGGACTTTGTGCCCTCCACAGAAGCTCAGAGAGACCAAGTCCAAGTCCTTGGGGACAGAGGGGCTGGACTCTGTAGCTGGGGAACTCTTTCTCATCCTGATCAGTGCAGAGGCTCAGATGGAGGCCTGGTGACTGCCCTTCCCACCCCGCTCCCACGGAAAGCCCGGAAGTGTTCCTAGATTGTTCCAGCAGAGAAAATGTGGTTAGTTGAAGGGAAAGGCACCATTTTCTTGATTTCAAAATTTGGTGGATTAAAAAAATCAATAGAGAATAAAGGCAAGTTGAGAAAACCCCTGAAGCCCTCCCCCTGGTCCCTCAGCTGGGGTCCCGGGGTGGGGTCTGTGCCCTGTTTGTGTGGTGTCCTGGCAGTTCCTCTCTGAGCATCAGTCTTCAGTGGTCCTGTCCTGCAGCTGGACACTGGGTCTGCATGGGCTCCACAGCCCCAGACAAGAGGGTGGACTTCGTGTTCATGTGCACAGGGCTTATTTTCTCTGGCCACAATGGTGGCCCCAGAAGCTGGGAAGTCACAATGTTTTGTGTCCAAGCTCTGCATCTGGGCCTGGGATGCAGCCCTCCTGGCTGTGGTGTGGCTGTGGAGTGGGGCCTCGCGGAGACTCCCTCAGTCCTGGCCCTGGCTCAGTCAGAGTCTGACTCCAGTGGCTCTGGAGTCATCGAGCCGAGGCCTGCTGCCTGCAGTCCCTTCTGGTCTTGAGCTGAGGCAGTCTACAGGGGCCAGGGACTGTGGGGAGAAGCCCAGGTCCTGGGCACGGGGTAAGCAAGAGTCCGTGAGTGACAACAGGGCCTGTGTCTGTCATCAGCAGAGTCCCCAGTCCCCCTTTGTGGAGCTGGCTGATGATGAGAAGATCTTTAACGGCGGCGACAACACGTGGCAGGGCCAGGAGCAGGCTCTGCTTCCAGACGTCACCGAGGAGGACTTGGAGGCCATCCGGCTGCGAGAGGAAGCCATCCTGCAGGTGGAGGTGGGTCTCTGCGAGGGTAGTGTGGGTGTCCAGGCTCACCCCAGGCTCCCTGCCCACAGAGGTGGCTGGGACTGCAGTCACTGGTAGCCTGGGTGGGAGGTGGGGCCAGAGTCCAGGCAGCCAAGCCCACTTCCTCCTCCTGGCCTTGGTGGGAGCCAGCCCTGCACTGGGGCTGTGAAGGCACCACCCACTGCTTGCTGTGCTGCCCATTCAGGCTTCCAGGAGGTCCCTAGCACTGTGGAAGGAACCTTGCTGCCTGGGGCCCCCGATGGCAGTTTTTGAGGGCTCTAGCCCTCTGTCCAGGATAGCCTGTGGCTGAGGATGCTGCCCCAGGTGGCAGGGGAGCCCAGGGCCCATGCAGGGTGGGTCAGCTGCTGCGTGCCCTTGGTTTTTGAAGACCAAGGACTCTTGGCTGGCCTACCCGATGCTGAAGTGTGTGCAGAATGCAGCTTGGCAGGGTGTGGCTCCACTGGGCCTAGGTCTGTGCCCAGTGTGCTCTCCTCCCTCTCCTGGGACCTCCTTGTCTGCAGGGGCTCTGGGGCCTGCAGCTCCCAGGGGCTGGGCTTCTGAAGTTCAAGGCCCCTGAGAGCAGGTGGTAGAACAGGAACCTGGGCGAGTTAGTAAGCCAAGTCACTGGCCCAGGCCTGTCTCTGCCTCTGCTTCCCTGACGGTTAGCAGGGCTTTCTCTCTCCTTCCAGAGACACCCCAAGTGGCCCTGGCTTGTTCCCCTTTCTTCCTGGGCCCTCACTTCTGGGCTACTCCTCCCTGCCTCTGCTGCACCCCACTCCCCAGGCTGGTGGAGGAGAGCTTATGTCCCAGGACCCCTGCTGAATGTGTCCTTCCTGCAGAAGCCGTCCCCCACTCCAGCTTCTCAGAGAGGGTCGCTGCCTGCCCCAGCCTGGCCCTGGTGGGAGATAGCTGGGCTTATCTCTGGCTAGATGGAGGTATCCGGAGAACACTGAACACCCGCAGGGGATTTTGTCTCTGCTGGAACCGCAAGGGCCTCTTACCCTGGAGGAGCTAAGATAGGGATGCGGGGTCCCAGAAAGTCTGGGAGGGTTGTGGGCCTGCCCCCGGCAGCTCTAAAACCCAACACCTATCCGAGGACAGCCCTTGGGAACCACTGGCTTAGCTTGTCCCTTGAGCACAGAGTGGCTCTCAGAAGGCGGAGGGAGCAGGGAGACACCGCCAGCTGCTGAGTCCAGGGAGCAGAGCCGGAAGGAGCAGCATGTGCTGCCACAGGTTCCACGGCCCCCACGGAGACCCCTGGGGTGTGGAGCCATACCAGGCAGCCGAAGCTGAGCTCAGGGAAGGGTGGCCCTGGGCCATGGGCCTCCTGGACCTGACAGCAGAGGCGAAGAGGCGGGTCGTGGGAGCTGCTGTTGCCCTTTCACTGGGAGGCCTCATCCCGAGCCTGCAGGTCCTGCTCCCAGAGCCCGAGCAGAGGCCTAAGGGCCACCTGGGACCTGTGTGACCTTTTTTGATTGCTCTGGGTGGACAGTGACAGTCAAGTGGCTCATGCCACTGCAGTAACCCCAGGGTCAGGTTCAAAATCAGAGGCCTTGGCGGCCCATGTGCCAGGCCCTTCTCTGTGGGACGGGATGTGTTTTCCGGTTTTGTAGGGTGTGTGCAGAATGGGGCTTTCCCAGGGGTGATGGGCCCAGCTGAGAGATGGAGGGACCCAGCCTGGGGCTCTGAGCTGGGGCTCTGGACTGTTCTAGAACAATGGTTTTAATGCAGGATTGATAGGAGGGTCTGGGCCTGTGTGCAGACCAGAGGCCCTCGCGGGTGGCTGGGGCTGGTATGATCCCAGTGCCTCTCTCAGCTCAACAGCATGCTGGGGCTCAGCTGGGGAGCCTCTTGCACAGACCTCGCCTTTCAGCCTCAGTTTCCTCCGCAATGCCTAGGAGCCTGGCCCAGCACACAGCTAGTCCCGAGTGCCAGGCAGAAGGGCAGTGGGTGGCATGTGTCATGCGGACCACGGTCACTCACAGAGAGCACAATACCTGTTGTCATTAGCCTTTGAAAACCTTCCCCCAGGTTGCAGTGGGTCCTGTGACCACAGCTTGCTGGGATCAGGGAGGGTGGGAGCCAGCCAGCCAGCCTCTAGGGAGTAATGTGACTGTAGCAGATGGCCCACACCTTGGGGGCCCCATGGGCCAGTTGCTCTGGAGTTATGGCAAAGCAAGGCCTGTGTGCGCAGGGGGGTGCCTGGGAGCAGCCTCAGGAGGGCAGAGTGGTGCCTTCCTCTCCCTGCACAGCGTACTTCCACTGGAGTTGGGACTCCCCCCTTTCACATCCCCTGGGGGTTTGGGAACATTTTGGAATCACTGACTGAGACTTGAGGTCCAGGAGCCCCTTTGTGGTCTTCCCTTCAGAACTGACCTTTTTGGGTAAACATGGGGGTGTGGATGGGGAGACTGAGGCTAGGGTGGATGACTGATGTCGCAACAGTGGGTTATTGTGTCAGATGCCCTCATGCCACCACCTTGCTTTAAGGTAAGTCCTTGAGGGCAGGCCACAAAGGGATGCCTGAACCCCAAGTCCCACCTCTAGAGATCTGAAGGTAGTCATGCAAATTCCAGAGCGCCTCGGGGATGTGGGAGGGTTCTGGGTGAGTGGTTGATGAGAAGTCCTGGATTGGGCCTGGCGCCGGGCACTGTGAGGGGGTGTGCAGAGCTGTCTGTGCTGGGAGCCCCCATTCAGTCAATTGGTGGCCCACCTTGTATCCTTTCCCTCGTCCCCCTCCCCAGAATCGTCCTGCAGGGCTTGGCGTGTATGCCTGGCCTCAGGCTAGATCCTCCCAGCAAGCCAGGGAGCCTCTTTGTTTTCATTTGTTTGTTAAATATTATTGTTAAATATTATTAAACTTAAAAAAAAATAAGTTTATATTTAAAGAAAAGCTGCAAAATAGCACAGAAAGGACCTGGACTTTCATTCAGCTTTTCTTAGTGTTGTACTGTAGTATAGCTATCAAAACCAGCCGGTTAATGTTGCCACCATGGTCCAACTACTCCCCAGACTGTCTCCAGGTCCCCTGGTTCTCCCACTTAAGAGTTGTCTCCTGTTCCAGGACCCAGTCCAGAGTTCCTGTTACATTGATTCGTCCCGTCTCTGGTCTCCTCCAGTCTATTACAGTTCCTGGGTCTGTCTTTCATGACTGACGCTCTTGATGGTGCTGATGAGTAGTTTTGTAGGCTGGCCCTCTTGGAGACGACACATTCTTTGCAAGAGCCTTTCTCTCCTTCTTGTACAACAGTGGACTTAAGAAAAACATTAAAACAGTGCTGGACTCAGGCAGAGTCCACCCAGTGCAGGAAGAGACTCAGACCCAGGCAAGAGCCCTGCCGTACCTGGGTGTTCACAACCTGCTCACCTGCTTGGCCTATGAGCTGTGCCCGGCCTTCTCCTTGTGACTGAGGCCTCTTCTAAACAGGCCCCTGTCCAGCTGGGTAAGCAGGAGTAGGCTAGGGCACCACTTATCCACCCTGCATGCAGCTCCTCGAGAGAGAATGTCATCCACTTCCCATGACGGGGGCTATGAGGTGGAACCCAGTTTGACCCCTGACCTGGAGGCCTGTCTCTGCAGGACGCAGTACCCAGCATTTGAACCTCTACCCCAGGCTGTCTGCCTTTTCCTAGGCAAGGCATAGGCACCTGGGTGTTGGGCCAGGCATGCCCCAGGGCCCTGTACTACACCCACTGCTTGCCTGTTCCTACCTTTAGACTCTTATGATCTGAGGCAGCCTATCTCTGGTCTCCTACCCTAGGGTGCCTCTCTGGATTTGGTCCCAGGAGGGAGCCCCACCCTCCCAGGACCTAGGGTGTTGGATGCTGGCAGCTCCCGGCCTCCTGGCTATCAGCCTGGCTGAACTGTGAAGATGGAGAAGCTGTCCATCTCATTATCAAGAGCATGAGCTTTAATTGTGTTTGAGCAGCGCGAGGCCAGGTGTGGAAGAAGAGGAAGCAAGATCGATGGACCATGGCGAGAGGTGTCTGAGTACCCAATTAGGTCACGTCCAGGATTTGCTGTCCCTCTCCAGGGTGGACAGCCTTGTCCCCAGGGTTGTCTTCTGCCCTGGCATTCTGGATTCTGTCTGTCTACTCAGGCCTGTCCAAGAGCTCCACAGCTGAGGGACTCTGTGCATGCTGCTGACCAGCCCACCTCTTTTTGCTCAGCCAGAAGTGAGTTTGTGCCCAGGGTGGCCATCTCCACCCTCTGAGGCCTGGCCTGAAGACCCCAAGAGGAGGTGGGGGGCCTGCAGCCACACAGTAGGGCCCCTGGCAAGTGGTGGCAAGTCAAGACCCCGACATCCTCATGCCACTCCTTCCTTATCCCTCTCTGAGTCCTGGCTTCCTAGTTGTGCTGGATGAGACCGTGGATTCAACGGGCTGTGAGGCGTTCTGCAAATGGACATCCCTGTGGCAAGGGTGAATGGCTTTGGGAACCTCTCTGTTGTCCCGGTTGCTAATGCTGAACCTGGTTGGTCCTGAAGCACTGCCCTTCTCAGCCCTGCGGGGGCCCCCAACACCCCTGGCTCTTGTGTCTCCTTCCTGTAGGGCCTTGCCTCTTCTCTGCTCTCCCTCTGGCCATCCCCTCAGTTCTCTGAGGACCCGTGTGGCTCTCGGTCCTGTCTGGTCCCTGGAGTCATTCAGTCCTCCCTCCTATCCCCTCCTGTGGCTCCTCTGGGTGGGCGGCCCACCCCTGTCCCCCAGGTGGGCCCTGAATGACCTTTCCCTGTTTGGCCAAGATGTGATAGGGTGGCTGCCACTGCAAAGGAAACCCAGTGCCAGGACTCAGCCAACATGCACGTTCCTTCTTGCCCTTTAGTCCAGCCTCCCACCTGCTGAGGAGCCCCATGGAACTGAATTGTGCTAAAACTCAGTGGCATGAAAAAGCCACCATGGAGTTCAACATCAGGATGTAGACACAGCTCATTGGGGTTGGGTAGTATCTACTCTGCTGTCTGGAGCCTCCAGTGGGAAGACTTGAGAGGCCA